AAGTATTAAACATTACAAAGATGGTAATCTTTGTAATACCAGTGTATTCTAAAATCCGCCTGTGGTCAGTCAGGCACATATGCTCCATCCTTCAGGAGCCCGACAGTCCTTACTTTCCTCTTCATGCAGGAAGTCATTATGGTGAGAAACAACATGAGTCATGTTCTCTGAAACTTTCATGGGGATCTGGGTTCCATCGCTGATCCCACGTAGGTGACACAGAGCTTCACTCTGCACGTCACTTTGTTGGAGCTTGGCACGCTACTTGTGGAGGAGGGCGCTGTTTCATCCCTCGCTTGTTGTACTGGTTTCTTTGCTTGATGCAGCTGTCTACCCAGACATGTTGCCACAGGTTTGGTTGGGCTAACAGGGAAAGCTGGTAGCACCCCCCTTTTTGCCCTATTCTTTGGCTTTCCTGATTTTGATGCACGCTTGATGTTGCACTCGGTTATGGGAGTCTGCAGTGGTTGCCATGGATCAAAGTTGCTCTCTCTGGGACCTTTACTGCTGTTTCCATTGTGAGGAGTAACATGTGAATGTGAGTGTAATGTTTGTCTCTCTGTGTCAGTCCTGTGATAAACTGGCAACCTGTCCACGGTGTAGCCCAGATTTAAATGAATGTCCGCTGGGATCTGCCCCACCCCCCCTCAACTCTCCAAAAGATAACCAGTAATAGAATAATATATGGAATAATTTAGATTCAAAATACTTTATTCAGTCCTCAAGAGGCAATTTAAGGCAGGCAAGTGTACAAATATACATATATATAAATGGTAAATTTACAGATGAAAAAACTAAGCTAAAAATACAAATGTGACATACACAAGGGCTTAGGATAATATATATATAATAATACATTTTTGTTTGGGAAGATCAAAATGCTTTATCAACACATTAATTCTATCAACTTGAATGTTTCATCAGTATTTATATGCACTGCTTCTGTCAACATCATGAACAATCATTAAATCAAATAACTGTCTCTTGGCTCTCTGTGAGTCCACTCAGTAAAAAATAAGTAACAAAAAAAAGTAAAAAAGTAATAAAGCTTGTATTTTAAAACTAATAAAGAAGTGAGATTAAATAAATAAACAGATAATAGATAAATTATCAAAATCAATTTACATATGGTTACAACAGGTACAATGTCTGGCCTCAGCAGAATGAGAAGTAATACCATCAACCTCCAGCAGGTGGCTCTGCAGTCTAACCTGTTTGAAACTAAGAGCCAAAGATCTGCCTTTTTTCCACTAACTTCTGTTCCACTAACCACTAATTTCTAACTAACTGGTTCCTTCATGAGTTATTATTTTATGTGCTCTCAAGTTGCAGAATACTTGCACATAACAGAGACATTTGTTTGTGGTGAATAATCACATCAATGTGTAGCAGTTCTACTGTGGATATACCTGAGTTTTTGGGAAGACATAAACATGTTTCAGTAATTTTCAATGCTGTGAGCAACACAGATGGAATACCATTTACCTCCATTGTATTTTTGTGGTGGCAGAAAACTCAAATATATATCACAAAAAATGGGAAAATAAAAATAATAAAGAGATTCCTAAATATATAACTCAGTGAATCAGTTATAATTCCATAAAATGGAAACTATATTTTGTAATAATGGATAACTGGTCTTGAAACTGTTATCCCATAATGCAATTCCCAATATTAATAATAAAAACGGAACTACTGACAGCTGGAAACAGTAATTGTAACAGAAAACAGGATGCCACAGTATCACCTGCTTTCACTTACTCATCAGAGGAAAAAATGTTTATAATATTTGAAATAAAACATGAACAATATAGATAGCATAATTGCACACGTTTCACATGGCCTTTGTACTTTAACAGCATCATTATCTTTAGTCATTATGGATAGGGCTGTGTATGAGTGAGAAAAACTTTAAAATCCTCAAAAAACTAAATACAAAAAACAATAAAGACACATTTTAAGTCATAATCTGAATCTGAAACTACGAGACTAAATGCCACTAAATCCTACACACTGGACCTTTAAGTACATTTGATTATTTGGTGACTCTAAATTTCCAGTAGGTGTTTGTCTCTATGTCCCTGTGATTAACTGGTGACCTGTCCAAGGTGTACCCGGCCTCTCACCCAATGTCAGCTCGGATTGGTTCCATCCCCCTCAACCCTCCAAAGGATAAGCAATTATGGAATAATAGAGAAAATTCAGTTCAATTCAAAATGCTTTATTCATTCCTCAAGGGGCAATTTAAGGCAAGTGAATGTACAAACAGAAATACACATAAATGATCAATTTACGCATAAAAAACTAATCTAAAAATACAAATATCACATACACAAGGATTAGGATAATATTTTTCCATTATTGTGTTATAAGATCAAAATGCTTCATAACAACACATTTATCCTTTTGACTTGACTGTTTCGTAATTATTAATATGCTCTGTGTCTGTCAACATCCTTAACAATCATCGAATCAAATCACAGTCTCTTGGCTCTTTGTGAGTCCACTCAGTAAAAAAACATCATAAAATAAAATCATAAAGTTTGTATTTTAAAACCAATAAAGAAGTAAAATGTCTGACCTCAGCAGAAAGATATGTAATACCATCAACCTCCAGCAGGTGACTCTGCAGTCTGGTCTTTTTTGAAACAAAGAGTCAAAGATCTGCCTCCTCCTCAACTGGCCTCTTTCAGCTTTTTAGACAAGCTGAAGTTTTCTGTTCATATTATACATCAGTATATCAGCCATAAAGCCAGGACTGGAGCTGAAGAGACTACTACTACTACTTCACTGACTTGTTGCAAGTTTCTGTTTCTTTGAAATAATACTCCTGCAGTACAACAGATCTGGGCCTTTGGTGTAATCATGACAAGCTGGGACTGGGGATCGACGCTTTCCCTCCTGGTTGAGAAAAAAACAATGATATTCTGATTAATACATAACAATCTCAATGAATATTTCAACCCATATTTTCCTTGTTGTACTGTGCTGCTGTTACGTGGTAAATCAGTCAGTAGTGGGATGTATCTGCTGTGTTAACAGAATGACTTAAACTCTCACTCACAGCATTGGTAAAGCCTGTTGACACGGGCGATGTCATTGGCGCTCATCTGTGTGGCGCCTCCGAAGGAGAGATTAGGGTTGCCCTTGGCAACGATGGTTGGCTTGTTGTTTTTGCTGAAGGCGTACCTTGAGGAGGACACAGACATTTTTGGTATACAGAGCTGCACACACACGAACAGAAGCACACACTGGCTCAGTTCTCACAATTAAAACTTCACCCTGCCCGTATCCTGTGAGATGTTTTCATATGTTAAATAAATCTCAAATCTTTAAAAAAAAAACACCTCATTTAGATTTCTTTACAGAAATGAAATCCTTTTTTTCTTTTTTAAGTTTTCTTACACCTCTTTTAATTAAGAAGGCCTCGCAACACCCTGCAAAGCTTTGGCGACCCCTAGTAGGGGTCTGGACACCATGGTTGGGAACCAGTGATCTAGTGTAATGTTTTAGTGTACAGTCGAAGTCAGGTGACCTAAACTGAGAAAGTTTGGTATGGAAGTGGTTGGGATGGACTGGTAAAACAAACACAGGAGACTTTTCACCCAGGAGAATGTTGTTCGTGTCCTCTGTGAAACCAAAAGTCAGACTTATCTTCTTTTTAGTTACATTATGTTCTTATTTTAAGCCAAACCACAATCTTTTCCTTAACTTAAGATGTTTTTTGTGCCTAACATAAGAACAAACTGCAATTTTTTAAACTCATAAAAGTTAAAAGTTTCTCAGCATGCTTTATTTTGAAAGTCTAATTGGACACTGCATTTTTATTATTGCTAACTTGGCCCTGGAGCCCTGCGCCTGCACAATTAGAGGGCATCTACAGCATCACCGCCACTGACGAAGCTGCAGGAACTCACACAAACACTCACTTGCCGTAATGCATCACAGAGTTGAAGTCGTAGGCCGTACGCAAGTTGTTAGTCTGCACCTTCCTGAAGTTTGCTTCCTCCTTTCCTGCACAAAAGGAGAGAACACACCAAAATGTTGAGGCTCAGCTTTTAAATGTCCATCTGTTCAAAGCTCAGAGAGCTGCAGGCATGGCAGATCTCATCAGTGTGTACCACATTAAACCAGAACTGTGAGGGTTTCTGTGAGCGAGCTGACCTGGCTGAATGTTCTGGGTGAGGATGGAGACGTAGCTGTCTCTGTCTGAGCGGACGTGCTCATGGTGGAAGCCCAGAGCGTGGAGAGCCTCGTGCTGCACCGTGTTCCTGTACAAACAACCCCTCCTCTTCAGGGAGAGCTGCTGTCCACCGACCCGACGGCCCAGAGAGGAGTAACACCTGATACACACACACACACACAAACAAACAGGTATTGTTGATGCATTGCTGACCTCTGGTGGTGGTGATGGATGAAGAAAGTAAAGTTGCATTAAGGGAGTGTCAGTGCAGTGTGTGCAGTGTGTGTGTGTGTGTATGTGTGTGTGTGTTCCTACCCAGATCCAGAGAAGAAGTTGATGTAATCCCGATGGGTATTTTTCCTCCAGACAAAGCGAATGCAGGTGGATTGGTGGAAGCTCACCAGGCTATTAATGATGAGGCTTCGCTCTTCAGTGGCTGCAGAGACAAAGAGGCTGCTGAGCCGTTTGGACTGTAAACACTTGTAGTTTTATGTTTCGTTTTATAATAATAGACTATTTATTATTAAGTGAACCCTTTAAAAGGCCCATAATGAGCAAATGTACAACGAAGTCCTTACTTACTATGCATTAAATGTGCTAATATACATGCTAAAAAAGCACTTAGTTAATGGTGAATATGTGTACCTGTATAGGTACACACATATAGTATACAGTGTCAATTATATAACATATAATGATCTTATATTTAAGTTAATCCAACCAAACTACTGATACCGGCTGTCACTTACAGTAACTGGTGGAGATGGAGATTGGCACGTAGACGTAGCGTCCAGTCTTCGGCCACTTGCAGCCCGTGGCGGTGCAGGGGACGGCGTTCCTGTCGTTATTTGGCACAATGTCTCCGTGCTCCAGTCTCATTGCTGCACAACAACAAATAAACAGACACTCACATGAATCTTCAGTGTAGAGTTTTACATGTTTGATGGACAACAAGCTAATGGTGCACCTAACACTGGTTTCATTCTATATTCATCTGATTATTATTTAATTATTTTATTTTATTTGCTTGTTTTATCTGATCAACAGTCTAAAACCCAAAGATATTTGATTTACTATGATATATAAGGAAGAAAACAAACATGTGACAACCTAAAGTCAGCAAATGTTTTAAATTATTTGAATATAAATAACATAAATGGTTAATTGATCATCATAAATGTAACTAATCCATTAATTGTTTCATCTCTACATCTTCTTCTGCATGTCTCAATGTGATTTTTCCATCATGTATTTGTATTTTAGTCAGAAGAGTTCATATAAAACTTACATATTCCTTCATTGGCTCTCTCGATGATTTCAGAGATGTCTGAAGACTCGTCTGGAAGCCGAACAAAAGCAGAAGATATCAGAAACAAAGTGCAGCAGTTTAATTATTGTGCATTGTGAGGAACAAAACACTTCAGTATCTGGGGAATTCTTCATTATCCAACTCACCTATTTCATCTACGTCATTGGTTAAACCCTGTAAAACAAAGACACACATTTACACATTTTTATATTATACACATTTGTAAATCAAGTTTTCTTTTCTTTTATGATGCTGTTTTGATTATTCTGCTGTCCGGAGAAAAATATGTAATTTTTCCCAATTTTCATAAATATAAGTTAAAGGACAAATTCTACGGAAGCTCTGAGAGGAAAGTGCGAAAACAATCTGGTGATCCAATAATTTAGTTTTTTATATGACTGGTGAAAGAAAACATGGAGTAGTGGTAGTTCAGCCTCTTGTGGCTAAAATGAGTATAACAACAATAAACACAACAGACACAGGAGAGAAAACAGTGCAGATCAGATTTCCATCTTAAAGGTTTATAAAAACCAACCAAAATCATCCTTCAGTTCATTAGAAGTTCACATTTTGGAGAGTCAGACTTACCGGAGGAGCAGCCCGAACCGAGAGGAAGAGGAGGAAGAGGAAAACTGGAGTCATGATGATGATCCTTCTGCAGTTGAATTTCAAATCTGAGAATAAAATCTGAGCAGTGTTCGGCTGTTAAGGAATACGTTCGGTGTATAAGAGTGATAAATGATTAAAGTAAGAGCAAAGAGATCAGCTACCTGTTGTGTACCTGGACTGTGATGCTCGATGCCGCAGCTGCTCGCTCTTTATAGGAGGTTCTCACCGGGTGTGTCTGAGGTTCCACCAATACCTGCCCCGCTCCGTTATCAATCAGACAATAAAACTTTGTTTTTGTGTAAGTTGCTCAAGCAGAATAACTGGCAGGGATTTTCCAGGAAGGAAATCACATCCCACTAACGGAAAGTCACAATGCAACATAAAAGTTCTCATTATGCATAAATATGATATATGAAATCAATAATATTACTGAGCATTTAACTGTAGAAGCTGGTCAGGGCAAAGCTGAATTTAACTAATGTATTAATGTTGTATAATCAATGAGATAACATCATAAACTCATCATATGTTTGTAAAATCTGACTGTTTGAAGTAACTCGTCATTATAAAATGATTCAAGTAAAATATTCAGTAACCTCAAAACTGTCCTTCAGTAAATGTGGTTGCATTCAACCACTGAGGATATCAGATATTATAGATATTATACAGTGAATAAAGACAGAAAACATGGCTAGAAAGACAATAACAACAAGTTGGGAAGAATGTGTCAATAATCATCTGACACGTGAAGAGTTTTAGTGTTTAGTTTCTGGATGGTAACGCCTGAGCTCTGTGAGGATATTTTTAATCAAATTAAAGATCAGATTCAGTACTTTGTTCACCAGGTTAAAGCCCAACAACCTTCATAGATTGTGCACGTGAATGGATGTGTAATGTTCAAGTGACAAACAAAAACAAGCAGTTCGGGTGGAGACCAGGAAACAGACGGATCAATAAAGCTTCCTGTAAAGTCATTATTCCTGTAAGTATTCAAGGTCAAGGTACCGAAGTACACGAGATCATAAAACAGATATAAATAAATATAAAATATGCACACACACACACACACACACACACACACACACACACTAATACATATTTTTCATAGTACTGCATAAGAATTAGCATTAAACATAGTTGTTACTGCAGGGTGTTACACAGTAGTTATACATAATTATATAATAGTGTCCAACAAGCTGATTTTATTTCATAGGAAAGAAAAACCCATCATTATTTAGTTGTCTCACTCGTCTGTGGGTCAGAACTGATGTTGATTTCAGAACGATCCGAACTGTAGAAGACTTACATGTTACTGTTTATAATCTTTATAATTTAATAATTTTTGTCTTATGAGAAGTATAGATTTTATTTTAGACCAATACCACTCTCATGTTTGTATACTATATATGAAGCTAGCATAGCTTAGCATAAATGCTGTAAGTAAAAGAAAGCAGCTAGTCTGACTTTATCCAGTATTGATATTTGTTATCAGCACAGGAGACTCTGGAGATTAATTTAACAGGTCATTTAATGGGTTGTTTGCCTATTTTTGTTTTATAATTTTGCATTTAATATCTTTTATATATGGATTTTTAGTAGTTGGGTTAAAATAAAATAAAATAAACGTGAAAATTCCTCATTCAGACCAACAACGCTCTGTAATAAAGACAGAAGCAAAACAAAGGGACACGATGGTTCATACACACACTCATAAATACACTTAAAAACTTCCTCTGCCGTGGGTCGGACGAGATTAAAACAATAAAAAAACTAGTGATAAACAGTTGGAATGGAGGTCATAAACTAATAAAACTAAATACATCTGAAGCATCATAAAGGGTGAGCAGGTTGTGTATTTGCAGTGAATGTTTGTTGTGTAATGCTGTTTGTGTCTTTAGGACCCCCTCGAGCATATAAAGCAGCTCTCCTGTCAGTAAAGTCGATTCACACACAGCAGCAGTCAGTAAGATGGCAGAGGGTGGGATTCCTCCCCCTCTCTGGGGGTCTGACTGTATTATTATATTCACTGTTTCTGTGAGCTTGCTTTGGCTCCTCGCTATAAACCAGCACTCGGGTGTAAACCCTCCTCAGGATTTCTTTCTCTCACGTTTTATTTTGTCTTTTTATCAGCTTGAAACTGAAAGTTTAAATTATTTTATGGCTCCGTAAAAAGAACCTTTAATCTCCTGCATCAGTGACAGAAGTCATAAATAAGCTATTTGTTCTTCCAGTAACAGGGAGGGTCATTATCGTCTGTTTGTGACAGAGGTACACACATTATTTACTCCGGTAACAGTAGAAGGACTGATTCAACTCAAGTTCATGATGTTGGGAAGGTGTGCAATGATGGAAAATTATACTGTAAAGAAAAGAAAGTGCAGATATTCACCTTTGAAACGTTTATTACAGCAGTTTGGCCTCTGTGTTTAGACAGTGATACTGGGGAGTGATGAGCATATACCTTAAACCTCCTCGCCAGGTGGATGCTGGGAGGTGGTGGAGCTCACTGATGTCGGGCAGTGTCAGCACTGACAGAGCAGAGGGGGGGCTGGGAAACTTTGCAGCTTAAATAGACCGCAGGGTGTGCTTGGTTTAGGATAATGGAGAGTGGAGAGCGAGGCCGTCTACAGTCGGTACAGCACCTCGAGTTGACTGCCTGAACTCGCAGACGTCGCAGGGAAAAGTAAAAAGTCGCCAGAAAAACAAAAAACTCAAGTACAGATAAACACTACGAGTTCAGTACTGTACGGAAAGAAGGGGATGAAGTCTAAAGAAGCATTGTGGTGTGAACATTTCCTTTACCTGCAGGGCTAAACATTGTCTCATTACACGAGTCAGGAAGGATCCAGAGAAAACAGAATCTGATCTAACTTCCTTGTGACTTATTTGGCATCATTGGGTCGATCAAACAGAAGATAAAAGGAGCATAAAGTGATAAAAGATTACAGGTTTACCTTGAACGCATCCACAAAACAACATGTGATGTTAATTATTTCATTGCCACTATCTTTTTCAACAAACAAACGTAGCCTGTTTTAAATACTTACTCTTAAGCAGTGGACATTTTTCATTAAGCTCATGAATTTAAGCTGCTGCTGTGGTACCAACAGGAGAACTCCAACATTAAACTATATTTTATATTAACTGTCCATAAACACGACTTTAGTCAAATGTACGTTTTTGAAGACTTTTCTTTCTTTACATCTCAGAGGTTTCACTTCACCGAACCACATTTATCTGAGGAATTATAAGATATTACAAATGTCTTTTAGGATCTTTTTAATTTGAGATCATGAAACTGGAGACACAACGTGTTCAGCTGGTAAATCTCTGTAATTCCACTCTGAAAGTTATCTTTGCATGTCTGTCTGTTTGTCTGTCTGTCTGTCTGTCTGTGTGTTTGTTTGTCCATTTGTTTGTTTGTTTGTGTCAGACCTGAGGAGAGAGGACTTCCTTGGTGCTCTCTCACTGTTTTGCATGGCGTCTTACATACAACATCTGCATAAGTGAAACAAACTGCACATCCAGGTTTCCTGTATTATGTTTTTCTCCAGGTGCTAACGGGGCTGACTGGTTTCCACCTGTGCAGTCTGGCCTCGCTGCTCATTGGTTGAACCAGCCTGAATGTGGCCAGTCATCACGCCAAGGCCTCAATATGAGAGAGTTTACTGTGTCTCTGGTTCTGCTGTTGTTGTATTCTGTGAACAGTCATGTGGACTCTGTACAGAAAGGTTTGTGATGGGAGGTTTAGGACTAAGGAAGTTTTTTACTCATGTAGCAAATCTTTGTCTAGACACACTTGTTCTATTGGTTGGAGCCTCATGTGTAATGTTTTGGACTCCCGCGCAGATTTTGGAACTTTTGTTGTGTCATTAATCACCTTCAACTGTCACAACAGTTGAATGTTCAGTTTTTGTCCCCCAGAGAGTCGTGTTGAAGGCTGTGGTTTGCTCTCATTATACTGACAGGTGTTTTTAAAATGTCTACCCTCTCTGTTCTAAACAGGAAGGACAAACCTCTCTGAAGCCGTTTCAACAGGAACCCAGCATTACGTACCGTACACACCTGGAGATCCTCAGGCAAAGGTCTGATGTCTGAAACCTAAAGGGGCCCCGAGGGGGGTCCTCTGAACTTCATACTATAAATACTCTTCTATACTATATTGTGGCCCATATACTCAATGGCAATGTTGCTTAAATGGGGGTACGCATACACCTAGGGGTACTCTGGAGTACTGCAGGGGGTACTTTTATTTTATTTTTAAACTTATGAAAAAGATGCAGTTCGATACCATCTTAGTGTTATTGCATGATGACAAAAAAATGGTTTGCAGTGATTTTAAACATTTTAAATGAAGCATTAAAGTGTTTTTCACTCAGACACTGATTGTGCAGCGGTATCTCTTTATACAGGCTTTGTTCTGTTCAGTGCTGGTCAGGAGGTAAAAGGTTCAGAACCACTGCTCTATAGAATAGTTTCACCTTCAGCATCAAAGTGACGAGTAGCAACGTGTGGTCGTCCACTGAACGGTACGACCCCCGGCTCATCCCTCTGCATGTCACATGGCTGCTGTTCTGCAGTGGAACCACTAGATGGCAGCGTCTTACATACAATATCTGCATGAGTGAAACAAACTGCACATCCAGGTTTCCTGTATTCCTCTGCATGTCGAAGTGTCTTCCAAGATACTGAAGCCCAAACTGCTCCTGATGCTCTGCCATCAGTGTGTGAGAGAGAGAGAGAGAGAGAGAGAGAGAGAGAGAGAGAGATTAGTTGGTTCCTGATGAGCAGATGGCCTAATGCGTGGTAAGGTGGCCTCTGCCGTCAGTGTGTGAGTGTGTGTGAATGAGTGAATGTGACGTGTAGTGTAAAGAGCTCTGAGTGGTTGGAAGTCCATTCACAAACACTGAGAATGGAAAATGTCCAGCAGTTAAACTATGGAAATATATGCAGCTGTTTACGATTCCTGTTTCAATGAGGAAGAAGGAGAAGTAGTGATTTTAAGATCTCCGAGAAACTACGACAGAAAAAAAGATTATTGGATTGTACAGTATTTCAGGGGTATTAAGAGTCTTTCAGAGTTCATGGCTGAAGATAGTAATGAAGGTCTTCAGGTTGCAATCTGTGAATTAGTGGTGTTAACACAGTCACACATCATTAAAATTGAATTATATATTGCATC